AGTCTTATTGGAGATAAGTCTCAAGGCCTTTTCTGCCCGGGGTAGGCTTTGAACTGTGATCCTCAGATCTCAGCCTCCTGAGTAGCTAGGATTACAGGTGTAAGCCACCAGCACTGGGCACCTTTGTTTAGCCTTTGACTGACAATCAATCACTGTAAATCTTTCAATGGTTTCCTCCAAGGCATAGATTTACTGCCTCAATAACAATACGATTCCATCCATCTTTTTGTTGTTGTTGTTATTTTTGTTTTTTTTTTTGGGGGGGGGGTCTGGTCATGGGGCCTGAACTCTGGGCCTGGGCGCTGTCCGTGAGCTCTTCAGCTCAAGGCTAATGCTCTACCACTTGAGCCACAGCGCCACTACCGGCTTTTTTCTTTTTTGCTTATGTGGTGTTGAGGAATTGAACCCAGGGCACATGCAAGGCAAGCGCTTTACCACTGAGCCACCTTCCCAGCCCCCGATTCCATCTTTTTTTGGGGGAGATAGGGTCCAAGCTGACTTTAAACTTTTGATCCTCCTGCCTTAGCCTGTTGAATGTGAGGATTACAGGCAGGCCCCACTAAACCTGGTATCCATTATTTTGTTATCATTATCCCTATATATCTATTTAAATGCCTGCTAGATTGCACCAAATGATGCATTCTTCCTCCACCTCCTCCCCCCACAGTATGGGGCTTGAACTCTGAGTCTAGTTGTCGTCCCTGAGCATTTCAGCCCAAGTCAAGCACTCTACCACTTGAGCCTCCGTGCCACTTCCAGTTTTCTGGTGGTTAACTGGGAGATAAGAGCCTCACAAACTGTCCTGCCGGGGCTGGCTTTGAACTATGATCCTCAGATCTCAGCCTCCTCAGTAGCTAGGATTATAGGTGTAAGATACCAGCACCTGTCCAAATGATGCATTCTTCTACAGATCCCATCCTTTTACTATTGCTGAAAGTTGTATAGGATGCAGGGGCCAATATCAGGTCTTTACCTGGCCAGAGGGTAATTTAGATCCAGGGTCAAACTTGTCTCTTGGGACTTAGTGCCTTGAAGGTCAACATCGGGCGCAATAGTGAAGAAAGAAAGGATTAAGGGGAAAGAGGTGGACTAAATACAGTCACAGACAAAGCTTTAGTTAATCCATTCCTTGGGAGCTGATCCCTTAAGGGGGACCTGGAGCAAAGACAGCCTTTCAAAGTGGTCTCACCTCACACCTGCATCTTTTTGTCTGTATAGACTCCTGGGATGTTGTGTGACAAGGCAGGAGGTAGCTCTGTTTTGCTGAGGGCAGCTCCCAGAGAGGGAATTCAGCAGAGAACTGCTGTCCACTTGCACCCCAGCAAGTGGGATTATAAGTACCCTGGTCTTGAGGTGCCATGTGTATGTGTGGTAGGCTGGGGTACTGTGCCAGTGGAGATGGGGACATGACAGATGGGGACAAAGAAGCATGAGAGATCTTAAGATCATAGAAAAAAATTGGCAGAGATTTTTGCCTGACCAAAAGAAGATAAAATAAGAGAGATGTACCTATATAACAAACACCTATATATTTCTTAATACTAGTGTTGGACAGTATAACAGGATGTTAGGATACAAACTTAATTCTAGTCTACTCAAATTCTATTCTCAAAAGCATGTCTTCCCACTAGACTATGGCTAGTCAAATTGGTTTCTATAATATATATTTTTTTTGGGGGGGGGAGGGGTCCGGTCGTGGGGCCTGAACTCTGGGCCTGGGTGCTGTCCCTGAGCTCTTCAGCTCAAGGCTAGTACTCTACCACTTGAGCCACAGCGCCACTACCGGCTTTTTTCTTTTTGCTTATGTTTGTACTGAGGAATTGAACCCAGGGCCTCATGCATGCAAGGCAAGCACTCTACCACTGAGCCACCTTCCAAGTCCTCAAATTGGTTTCTAAGTGCTAAATTCAGATAGCAGAATTGTTTGACTGTGCAACATTAAAAAAATGTGAATTGGCTGCTACAATTAAAAAACTGGAAGCATTTAAACAGTAGTTTGTATCTCCAGCTTCTCTTGAGTAATAGGATGTTCAGGCAACTCTGGATCAACATTCCTGTAAGTCAGTAATAGGCTGGAGTTGAGTGGCAACCCCTTTTAAATTGTGTATGTTTTTCCTAGTGTACTAGTCTATGAATTACCTTCTTCGGCATTTTGGCTTAGAATTCTTTGTTTTGTTTTGGTAGGTTATGGGGCCTGAACTCTGGGCCTGGGCACTGTCTCTCAGCTCTTCAGCTAAAGGCTAGCGCTCTACCACTTGAGCCACAGTACCACTTATGGCTTTTTCTGCTTATGTGGTACTGAGGAATTGAACCCAGGGCCTCATGCATGCAAGGCAAGCACTCTACTGTTGAGCCACCTTCCCAGCCCTGGCTTAGAATTCTTTTTTTTTTTTTGGGTCCGGTCGTGGGGCCTGAACTCTGGGCCTGGGCGCTGTCCCTCAGCTCTTCAGCCCAAGGCTAGTGCTCTACCACTTGAGCCACAGTGCCACTTCCAGCTTTTTGCTTATGTGGTGCTGAGGAATGGAACCTGGGGCCTCAGGCATGCAAGGCAAGCGCTCTACCACTGAGCCACCCTCCCAGCCCCCAGCTTAGAATTCTTATAATACATTTAGTTAAGCTCATGTACTGCCTAACAAAGTGTGTCATATATAACAGGCATTGGTTCAACATAACTGATTTCACTGGAGGAGGCTGGGATGAAGGCTAGACTTCCACCTGTAATAGGAGGCTTTACTTGGCAGAGAAGACATGATAGCAAATACAGATTATGATGAATTAATGACCTGATGACTGGGATTTGGGAGGAAAGAGCAAAAGGGTAACACCTGAGGTTTGGGAGTTTTACTCCAGAGTTAAGGATGGGGACTCATGGAAAAAGCCAGATAAAGGTAAGAAGATAGAAAAGATAAGCAGGGCTGGGAAGATGGCTCCGTGGTAGAGTGCTTGCCTTGCATGCATGGGGCCCTGGGTTCGAATCCTCAGCACCACATAAGCAGAAAAAGCTGGAAGTGGTGCTGTGACTCAAGTGGTAGAGCGCTAGCCTTGAGCTGAAGAGCTGAGGGACAGCGCCCAGGCCCAGAGTTCAGGCCCCACGACTGAGAAAAAACAAAAACAAAATCAGCAGAGGAATGACACTGGAGGTAAGGAAGCCTTGGATAGTTAGTTATGTTCAGTGTATCAAAGAAAATAAGGGCAATAGTTAGGCAAAAAGCCAGGGCCACAAGGAAGTAATGAGAGGCAGTATGGGATAAGGAGAAAGCAGCTATGGGTTGGTGTATGATTTATTTTCAGGTGTTCCAGTTGGTGGAAGAAAGCCCAGAGGGATTTAAAAAACAATTCATCCATTTACTTTCAGCATTGTTATTACTTCTGACATCATCTAGAAGAAATTATTCAGTAGCTACCTTACATCCTTCAAGGGACCAAAGAAATATCCAAATTCTAATCTTTTGTCATAGTGGAATGAAACATTAATTTAACCTGTATTTTGGATAATCACCAAACTTCTCTTCTGGATCTAACTCTCTGAACATGGGCTATTGGCTTTGTTGATTTTCTGTGGTAAAATGAACACTGTGGCTTTGCTTTATTTTATCACCCAGTTAGTATTTTTATGTGTGGCTTTGCCAGTTGATTACAGTAGTATGTGTTCAGAATATGTACATGTTAACATCAGTGTAAATAAAATGTAGTGAGGGAGATAAATTTTCATGTAACTCATTCCAAGGTCCAATGTCAGATACAGACTACACTGTTTTGGACATACTCCTCTTCACAGAAAACTGCACGGCCAATTCTTTTTTTTTTTTGGTCTGTCCAGGGGGTTGAACTCTGGGCTGGCCTGGGCGCTGCCCCTCAGCTCTTCAGCTCAAGGCTATCGCTCTACCACTTGAGCTACAGCACCACTTCCAGTTTTCTGGTGGCTTATTTGAGATAAGAGTTTCACGAATTTTCCTGCCCAGGCTGGCTTTGAACCATGATCCTCAGATCTCAGCCTCCTGAGTAGCTAGGATTATAGGCATGAGCTACCAGCGCCCGGCTGCATGGCCAACTCTACAGAAAGAAGTCCTTTCAACTCCTGGGTACAACATTAATATGGTATTGCCTTTGAAGTCAAATCACTTGAGTTTGCATCCTTTTTCTGCCACCCACAAAACTGTGACCTTGGACTTGTGAAGGAACTTCCTCAGACCAATTCATCAGTTAGGTGATGGTTAACTGTACCTATTGGACAGGCTTGTTAGACGGCTGGAATGATGAATATGTCGAATTAAGGTAGGCTAGGCCGTGCCCTTTAAAGGTCTTTTGAGGATGGTGAAACTTGAATCTTCCTTTTATCAGCTGTGTAAAAGTTTTATTAAGTGGGATGGGCTATCAGTAAGGAAGTAACGGCTGGGATTCTGGTGTGAGTGATCAGCACCAGGCTTAACTTTGGGACTTAGTAACTCAAAAAAATGAAACACAGAACCCCTCTTGTTTTTCCTTTTCCGTTTCTCATTAGTCTATGGAAGCTACAAAGGACATGGAAACTTGAGGGTTGTAGGCCTCATTGCTATTATTGGTATTATTATTATTGGGGGTAAGAGCTGCAGAGGGGCTGCGCACAGCCTTCGCCAAGAGATCAACAGCAGAGATCTGCCAGCTGGAAAAAAAAAATCTAGCCCCAGGATGCCATGACTCCCAACCCCGGGAGCAATCCAACCCCATAGGCGGGGGTGGAGAGGTGATGAGGGGGGGGGATGAGGGGGCAGCCCGAGGCGGTGGTAGGGAGGCGAGTGGAGGCTTAGGGGTCAGCTCGGACTGGAGGAGCCCCAGCCCAGCGCTCGGGTAGGAGAGCCCCGCGGCGTGAAGGCACGCGCGCCTCGGGGCCTGGAGGAGCTGGGTGACGTCACCTCCAGGAGGACTCGCTTTTTCATTAATGAAACCAGTCGGCGCGGGCGCATGCGCGGAAGGCCCCTTCCCTCCCGCTTCCCCCCTCCCCTTTCCCAGCCGCGCTCTCAATCTCGAGCTCGCTCGCTCTCCCTCTCCCCGGGCTGTGGAAAGGATCCCACTTCCGGTGGGGTGTCATGGCGGCGTCTCGGACTGTGATGGCTGAGGGGAGACGGCGCTAGTGGGGAGAGCGACCAAGAGGCCCCCTCCCCTCCCCAGGTCCCCTTTCCCCTATCCCCTTCCCCCCTGTCTTCTCGCCAACGCCCCCTTCCCCTCTCCCCCTCCCGGCTCGGCGCAGAGCCCCCATCCCCACCCCCGTGGGAACGTCGGGAGCCTTGCCCTCCTCAGACCCTCGCCTCGCCTCTTCCCTCAGCTCAGCCCCCGCTCCCTGCTTGCTTCCCGGCCCTGGGCGCCGGCCGACCGGTCCCTCCGCCGTTCCCCCCCGGCCGCGGGGAGGACATGGCCGCGCACAGGCCGGTGGAATGGGTCCAGGCCGTGGTCAGCCGCTTCGACGAGCAGGTAACGGGCCGGCGGCGGGCCGGGTGGGAGCGGGGTGGGGTGGGGGTGGGGCGCGGTGGGTGAGGGGAGGAGGGGGGGGGAGCGGCCTCCCTCGAGGCGGCCCCGGGGCTCCGGAGGCTCGGGGAGGCCAGGAGGGGAGGATCCGTCAGGGGCGGCCGAGCAGGGGGGAGGTGCGGGGCCGGAGGGGACGGCGGCGAGCTGGGGCTCCGCGCTTCCCTCCGAAATCGGGGGGTGGGGTGGGGTGAGGTGGGGTGGGGGGGTGGGGCCTCTCCCCTGACCTGTCCTCGCCACCCTCCATCCCTTTTATCCCAGCTCTTCCGCTCGCTAATGGGGGGGACGAGCGGCGGGGAGAGTAGTTGAAGGACCTGGGGGCGCTCTCCGGGGTGCTCCATCTGGATTTAATCATTCTATCTTTCTCTTCCCCCCCTCCTTTTTTATGAACGGAGGTGGGCAATCTTTAGGGGCTCCTTACATTTCTTCTCTTCTATCCTCCTAGCTGGGGGTGAGTAACTCGGAGGGAAACCCTAAGGCCCGTCTCGTGTACCCCCCAGGAGTAGAATGTTAACGCCCCCGCCCCTCCCCCTCCCAGTGTCTTTAGCTTCCCTCTTGAAGGGGGAAGAGAAGAAAGCAGGGTTTTCCGACTTTCTGCTCCAAGGTCTCCAGTCTGCTCCAAGAGCTCCAAGTGCACAGTGTACATCTCTATTGCTCCACACCGGGAGTCCCTTGAGACCCTTAATTTTCATTGCTGTTTGCTGAGGAAATAGGGTTCTGAGACATCCCCCTCCTCCTATTTTTTTTTTCTTTTTCCCTCCCTGGTAATTTGCAACCTCCTTCTTCCTTTCTTACCAGGTCTGAGGATGTGAATATTGCTTTCTTGAGTGAGAATCTCAGGGCAAAGGATGTAAGGAAAGTTGAGGGAGCAGACAGCTGGGATGTGGTCTTGGAACTGACAGTTTGGCTAGTGGTTTGTTGTGTTTGACTCTCTCTTCTTCTGACCAGAGGACTTTCATTGCAAATATTTGTGATGGAGGAAAAAGTTTCATGGCTTAGGGACTTGATCTTTTATCCCCTGTGTTTCACACACTGAATCCCGGGGCTGATGGAGATGAATGCTTTGAATGCGCATGTAGCTTTTTTGTCAGTGAGAATTAGTTTAACTTTGCTGCTCTGCTGTAGATAGTTGGGGCTGGTTTAAAGGGATTTCTTTCTTTCTTTCGTTCTCTATCTCCCTCTCCCCCTCTCCTTCCTTCCCTCCCACCCTCTTTCCTTCACTCCTCCCCTCTTTTTTTGCAGTTCTTTCACGGGCTTTCTGTGATGAATTGTTTAGGATTAAGTCAGTCTCTTTTTTGTTTACTGGGTATAGCTTAAAACTGATTATGGGAGCTGAAAGATGGGAAGAGTTTCTTTTATTTGGTCCCTATTCCTTACAGGACTCTTAGTCATTTTGACCTGCCTGGAAGATAATTTGGGAATAGGCAAAGGGTCGAAAAGAAGCTACATAGTATTACAAAACTGTCAGAGATTTAAGGGAGGTAGTTCATTCACCTTTTTGCTTCTAGACCAAAAGGCATCTGAATCAACTACTGCTAATCCATCTGATGAATTAAAATATTACTGTATAAAATAGACTGTGCTATTGATAGAACATTAGATTTAAAACTTGATAAAATATTTCTCTACATAATGGTTAAAAGATTTTAAAAGGCACACTAGAGAACTCCAAAACCGAACTGCACAGCATAATCTAAATGAAAGATTTAGAAAGATTAAGATGTTCCCAGGATTTATTTTTATTTTTATTTTTGTCAGTTGTAGGGCTTGCACTCTGGCCTGGTCTCTAAACTCTTCAGTTCAAGGCGAGCTTTCCACCACTTGAGCCACAGTGACATTACTGGTTTTCTGGTGGTTAATTGGAGAAAGTCTCATGGACTTTCCTGCCTGGGCTGGCTTTGAACTGTGATCCTCAGAGCTCATCCTCCTGAGTAGATTACAGGCATGAGCCACTGGCAGCTGGCTGGTGTTCCCAGTTTTTAAAAATTTAAAAAAAAAATTGAGGGCTGGGAAGGTGGCTCAGTGATAGAGTGCTTGCCTTGCATGCATGAGGCCCTGGGTTCCATTCCTCAGCACCACCTAAGCAGAAAAAGCCGGAAGTGGCACTGTGGCTCAAGTGGTAGAGTGCTAGCCTTGAGCTAAAGAGCTGAGGGTGCTACCAACCAAAAAAAAAAAAAATTGAAATTAAAGTTTTTCTTTTTAGCTGTTGATCTCTAGGCTTATTTGTCATAAAAGAAAAAGATAGTTCTCTAAATTTCAAATGAGGGATGATTTTGATTATAGAGCCAGGGATAGAAGGATATACTCGGACACTTCAATATGTGCTGGTACTGAAGCTTGGACTGAGGACCTGGGCTCTGTCCCTTAGTTTTTCACCCCATGCTGGTATTCTACCACTTGAACCATAGCTCTGCTTTTGTCTTTTTGGTGATTAAGTGGAGATAAGAATCTGATGGCCTTTCCTGTTTGGTATGAGTTCAAGCTGCCATCCTCAGATCTTAGCCTCTGGAGTAGCTAGGATTACAGGCGTGAGTCACCAGCAGCCAGCTAGACCTTAGGCGTTTTTGTTTGACATATGTATTCTATCAAACTCACCCCCTACCATCTGCTAAAAGTTAAAGGTGTAAGTTTTGAAAATGCCATTTTTTTTGTATTTCTTGTGTTATAATTGAGAGAAAGATACATAGACAAATTATTCCTCCCTTTTTTTTCTCATAAAGTTCATTGACTTTAGAGATCTAAAATATAGGCTCTTCAAAGTTTAATATGAGATATTAGAAATATCATGTATTAATTTATTAACAAAAACAATACATCTTCAGGTTGGAGATGTCTCATATTAGTATTTATCCTGTCCTGGGGCTTGAACTCAGGGTCTGGGGAAGCTATCTCTGAGCTGCTTTTGTTCAAGGCTAGCCACTTGAACCATAGCTCCACTTCTGCCTTTTTTGGTATCTCAGCGCCTGGCTGAGATGTCTCTTTTTAATAAACTGAGACACAAAGAGGTTAAGTGACAGAATAGACCTAATAACAAGAGCCTCAGTATGAAAAGTATTGAGTGCTGGGAAGTCAGGGGAATGGTATTTCTAAGTATCCCATAGACTTTGTTTGAATAATACATTCTGTGGTTAGGAGATTTTTTTTTTTTCCCGTCGGTCTTGGGGCTTGAACTCTGGGCTTGGGCACTGTCCCTGCACTCTCCAGCTCAAGGCGAGCGCTCTATCGCTTGAGCCACAGCGCCACTTTCGGTTCTCTAGTGGTTTATTGGAGATAAGAGTCTCAGGGACTTTCCTGCCTGGGCTGGCTTTGAACCTAGATCCTCAGATGTCAGCCTCCTGAATAGCCAGGATTACAGGCGTGAGCTACCAATGCCTGGCTTTTTTTTTTTTTTTTTTTTGGTGCCAGTCTTAGGGCTTGAACTCAGAGCCTGGGTGCTGGTCCTGAGCTTTTTTTGCTCACTTCTGGCTTTTTTGGTGGTTAATTGGAGATAAGAGTTTCACAGACTTTCCTGCCTGAGTTGGATCTTGGCCTCCTGAGTAATTAAGGTTATAGGTGTGAGCTACTTGCACCTGGCTAGGTTGCCATTTTTTTTTTTTAAATTAGGGATAAGAAAACTACATATACTGAGAGAGATTTGTATAAGAATCTTCATTATTTAATGACTTTTTTTTTTTTTTCTGGTCTTGGGGCTTGCACTCAGGGACTGGGCACTGTCCCTGAGCTTTTTTTTTGTGCTAAGTCTAGCACTGTACTTGAGCCACAGCACCACTTCCAGTATTTTCTGAGTAATTTATTGGAGATCAGAGTTTCACGGACTTTCCTGCTTGGGGTTGGCTGTGAACTTTGATCCTCGGATCTCAGCCTCCTGAGTAGCTAGGATTATAGGCATGAGCCATCAGCACCAGACTATTTAATGATATTTATTTATTTATTTTTGGGTCCAGTTGTGGGGCCTGAACTCTGGGCTTGGGTGCTGTCCCTTAGCTTTTCAGCTCAAGGCTAGCGCTCTACCACTTGAGCCACAGCGCCACTTCCAGCGTTTTTCTTTTTGCTTATGTGGTGCTGAGGAATTGAACCCAGGGCCTCAGGCATGCAAGGCAAGCGCTATACCACTGAGTCACCTTCCCAGCCCCTGATTTTTAATTTTTTAACAAAAATTTTTGATTGCCAGTCCTGGGGCTTGGACTCAGGGCCTAGGCACTGTCCCTGAGCTGCTTTTGCTCAAGGCAAGCACTCTTACTACGTACGAGCCACAGCGCCACTTGCGACTTTTTGTGTTTATGTGGTACTGAGAACTCAAACGTAGGGCTTCATGCATGTTAGGCAAGCACTCTACCACTAAGCCACATCCTCAGCTCTATTTTATGATTTTTAAATGCTTTAAACTTTTCATGTTGTCTGTTACTTGTTTCACAGAGTCCAAGGGTAGATAAGCATCTCCTTTATTTCAGCTAAGACCATTTCAGTACCTAGGGAAATGGCAGTGTTTATAACCCAACTAATGTTTGGGTTATACTTTTTTTTTTTGGTCAGTCGTGGGGCTTGAACTCTGGGCCTGGGTGCTGTCCCTCAGCTCTTCAGCTCAAGGCGAGCGCTCTACCACTTGAGCTACAGCACTACTTCTACTTTTCTGGTGGTTAATTGGAGATATAGAGTCTCACAGACTTTCTTGCCCAGGCTGGCTTTGAACCATGATCCTCAGATCTCAGCCTCCTGAGTAGTTAGGGTTACAGGTGTGAGCCACCGATGCCCGGCTCTTGGGTTATACTTCTTATATTTGCAATTGAAGCAGAAGTGAATTATTAGCTACTGCTGATTACAGGCATATTGAACTGTAATGGGTTTTGCAGCTGATGTACTTGACCAGTTAAAAGAGATGGTAATATTTCCACCTTGACTATTTATATATATTTTAGTAGTACTGTACAGAGAGGTTACAGTTATATCAG